TTTGGGTGGAGTGAGACTCAGTTCCAAAGTGAACATTTCCCGAATGACATACCCTGATGGTTCAGATGCACTTCATTATTTTCTATTAACAATGGAAATAAATTTTAATCTCTTGCTGGCTAGCGCTGGCCTCTCATGACAGCAAGGGAATTAACCTGAATTATTTCAGTGTCTGCAAAATTTATTACAAGATTTTAAATTATGTCCAAATGTATGTGTGTGTGCACATATACATATATATAGATAGATAGATACAAGTTCCCATTTTTAATATTTCAAATATCTTAGACTCTGAAGTATCTAGAAGAGTCTGCCAATTTAACTAAATTTACAAAATGTAAAGGATTCAACTCACAAACCCCACCACGTGAAAGCAGACAGGTTTGGTGGTTGTTCTTATATGTGAAGACACACACAAATACTGACTTTTACATACATTCACTCCACTTCTGGAAGAATGAACAACATTATGGAAATGAAGATGCATTTGGTACATTCGAAGCTTCGAATTTGACTTCCTTCACTGTTTTCTGATGGATGATGACAACACTGATATTATTCTCTTCAGAGAAGTTAAAGTTTCTGAATGTTTGAAGACTAAAGGAAGTGGAATGTGCATTCCAGAATCGTCTCACTCCCAGGCCTTCCCCTTCCACAAGCCAACTTCTTTCCCCTAGTGAGTATTTCCTGGGTCACGAAGGCTGACCTTTTCCATCTGGAATCAATCAGTCAACCCCTGACAACTTCCTGAAACACCTCACTCCATTTCCTGTTCTCTCCCCCTTCTCTCTTTCCCCCTGGTTTGCTTCACTCTTCAAAACTGCAGGCCACAGCAGCTTAATGTTAGAGGGTCAGACACAGTTAGACTCCAAAACACTACACAAGGACACCTTTGACCTTCAAAAATCTTTACATCTTAGCTAAACAAATCAAGGTCAACATTTCTTACCATTACCTTGTTAACTATTTGTATGCATCTTTGCCAACGCTCTTCTGATCATATAATCATCAATACCACTTGTTCTCCTAAGATCATAAACTGATCTGTTTTAGAAGTAGCAAATTTAGTATTGAGAAGGGGTGCCATTTGAAGGTACCCAAAACTAACAGTCATATGTATTATAACAAACATACGTAGAGTATTCCAAACAAAAGAACTTCTATGCCTCATCAGTGTCTCCTATCACCTAAACCTGATACCTAGTCTTTTCTAAAGCTGTCAGACTCTCTTGGCACCACCATTCTGCTGGCACAGACCGAAAGGATGCCAATTAGGAATACAGATGTCCATAATTGGTGTGGGATGGACCCCTGGTTTTTGCTGCTGACACTGGTGACAGCTTTCATTTGTTTCTCATACTTGGCGTATCTGTATTTCAGCTCAAAGCTCAAAATAGGCAAGGCCGCAGAGCGGAAAACTAAGCCATTGCATATTACAGCTCTCTTCAACTGATACATTTCAACACAAAAGCAGCAATCAATTACATTCATGCAAATATTATTTACGACGTGGTATCTTTAAGCCAAGGTCCCAAGAAAAAGAAGTAGGAATCGATTGGAATTGCTTGCATTTTTTTAAGTGAAAGTAGTTTTTCACTTTCTGCAATTCCTTATTTTGCTTAATGCAATCTCTAATTTTTGGTGAGACCAGATCAATAAACATAGACCAACTGGAGAGTGACAGGGTAGGTTCCATTTTGAATCATCCAATTAAATGGCAGTTTTAGCTGACTGTACAGAAATAGGAACATTAAAAGTTTGTATCTTCCCTTGAAAAATGCAAGAAAGTCTTAAGACAAAATCTACAACTGTGTTAGCAATTTGCTAAAAGTATGCAAGAAAAAATAATTAGCTTTCTCAAATTATATTTTTCTTCTCATTACCCCAAAGTACTCCCATGTCCCGCACTCTAATAATTTATACAAAGCAGGAGCTGAGTTGTAAAGAGCCCTTTCCTGCCTATAAAAGGCCTCAGTGGGAGTCATCCTTTAGGTGGACACATCC